AGGAGTGAAGCTAATGTTGTTAGAATATATATACCATAGCTTACACTTAGGATATATTCGCATATGAGCGAGCCATGTTTTTAATGAGAAAAAAGCGAGATTAATATGAAGAAAATACAAGTAAAGCATAGTCTAATGTTCATCTGACGATGCACCTGATGAATTTGATTTTGAAACATTATTCTTGTTTTTCTTTTCTTTCCTTCCACGACAAATAGGTTCGTCAATAAGATGAGTAAGAGACTTGATTGTACCAGCTAATGATCTTGTTTTTGACGTTAACAAATGCAACAGTTTTTCAATTTGTTTAGTTTTACGAGCTGCTTTGCGCGTCGATTTTTTGCTTTGCGCGTCGAACCACAGAAGAGAAACCTAATCCAGTCTGAACCATTCTATGAGATACGACACTTTCGTCTTGCTTTAAGCATTGAATGAATCTCCACATGTTTGGATGTGGCTGAATAACACGTGTAAAAAATTCCAGGGGGTATATTGGCGAAAGTACAGTGGACTTTCGTCATTGGCGAAAGTCTTATTTGTCGAGATTCCGGAACCGCTGAAAAAAACCACATTTAGTTTTAACCTAAACAACTCAATAAACATGTGTTTTTTTCCATTTATTAAATAATTTATAACAAGTAAAACAAAAATGTTCAAAAACTTATAAAGTAATCAGAAAACATATACAAATAAAGTTTAAAAATACAAATGTTAAAAATGTTAACTCTGTTATAAGATCTCATTTTTTCCTCTTTTACAATCACAAAATTCACTCCGTTGACGAGCAGATAGGTTTGATGAATTTTGATCATTTAATTTGGTTAAAAAGGGATAAAAACAAAAGCAAATAACACAGTAAAATAAGTAACATTGTGTATGTAAAAAGAAGTTTACGTTACTTAGTTTCGAAGATTTTCATGTAGAAAATCATCAAGTGTGTCAGTATTCCATTTATCTATGCCCAATGATTCAACTTGTTTATCATTTTCATCATACAAAAGTAAAATAGGATCTAGTCCACGAACATAGGAAACAGAAAAAGATGGATATTTATTTGGACGATCACTTCTGATAAACGCTTGAATTTGAGCATAGCGTCCTAATTTTCAGGAACACACTTGAAGAACAGCTCGATGGTATTTCTAGTACAAAAGAATAACCGTTGTTCAGTTCAAAAATTTTCTGAAGAATTCGATATACTTACAGCACCTTTCTCTTGATCATCTTGATCATTAATACAACAACTTTTACATGAATCTTCAAGTTTATTTAATTTAAATTGTTTTAACTCATCACAACTACTACACATGAGTGTGTTTGATGAATAACCGAGATCATGGCATTGTTGAGATGAAACGTTCTCTGATGCAACTAAAACCTGAAATGAAAAAAAAATGATAAAGTGATTAAAAATGAAAAAAACACAGTCAAGTATAAATCTCACGATGCAAGCCAGAAAATGGCTAAGGAAAGCCACCAAAAGATCGGCACTCCGCATTGTACCGAAATGATATCTAAAAAACAAGTCAAACTTGCAGACACATTAATTAAAATATTTAAAATGCTTTTGCTCTAAAATTCAGCCTATAAGAAACCCACGTTTATTGACACCACAACAAAAAATAGTAATATTAAAAAGAATGTAAAAACTTAAAGATGAACGGATTGAATTATTTGAATATTCATTTTTATTTGTTGCACAGGAACAGACACCTCAATTTCTACTTCATGTCCAATATCAGGTTTATAAGCAACAAGACGAACTGAAAGGAAATAAAGACTTGACAATCAAAACTTGCCCATTTATATAAAATGGATATCTATATTCATATCTAACTTATATTTCGTTTTCTACGGACAAAATTCAGATCAGTAATATTGACTTGCACTTCTTGCTATACAATGGTGAGCCGATTTAGCAGAGAGTGTCCAGAAGCTTATTCTTATAATAAATATACAGTAGGCCGAAATGCAACTCAAGATCCATGATGGCTTGAGACTTCTAATTTGGGATGGGACCACCAAGTTTGGGCCTCTTTTACTGGATGGTTCATCAGATATAAGCGATTTATGTCTTTTCCGTAAAATATCAATAGCTCCTGACCTAAGAGAGATGAAAACTTTTTCTTTTACTAAAATGTAGTCACAACTCTATTCTAGCTGCAATATAATATTTTATGAGTGAGCTGTTAGCAGTCAGTGAAATACAGCTATTTTTACGGGCGAGGCCCTTGAAAACGAGGTTCTGAGATGAGGTCTTTCCCAAGAAAAATTTATAACTCATTCCAGGAACATCAATTCGACTTCAAAGTCACATCAAATCCTCTTCGATGACTGTAGACTATTCAGTCAAAGTATAAAGGTTAACTATTATGTGGTTCTGGAAATTCATTGAAGACGAGCACTCACAGTTGAAACATAAGTATAAGAGCGAGGGTGAGGAACTAAGGGTGGCTCTTTCTACTATAGAATCTGCATTCAATGCGCATCATAATTATGAAAAAATAATCATAGAAACCTGTGGTTCCGAAAAACGTAAATGAAAAATTTTGTCAGAAAGATTACACACTCGTCTCTGACCTTTGCCATTTCACTTATTACGCCCTTTTTACTTTCCTTCTATTTTCAAGCAAAACTAATAACATATTTGAGATCAACTAACAAAACTGAGGCGAATAGCATACTTAACATTTCGCTTTCGGACAAAAAAATTCCACTGAAAATTTTCTCTGTATCTTAAAGATGAGTGTGTGATCTTTTTGACAAAAGTTTTCATCTACGCTTTTCGAAACCATAGGTTTCTATGATTATTTTTTCATAATTCTAATGCGTATTGAATGCAGATTCTATAGCGAACCTTAGTTCCTCACCCTCGCTCTTCTACATATGTTTCATACGGAAAAGACATAAATCGCTTATATCTCACGAACCATCTAGTAAAAGAGGCCCAAACTTGGTGGGTGATCAGCATTTGGCAAGAGCTATGAACACACAAAATTAGAAGTCCCTAGCTATCATGGATCTTGTGTTATAGCGGGAGGGGGGCGCTAGTTTTGCTATCTCCTATAGTTTAAACCAAGTAATATATTTATAGTATAATTTTATCTTATGCTCTGCAAAGAATATTGATTTCTATTGTATGGAACAAAAAATTTGAAAACAGGTCTGAATTCCGAAAATGTTTTTCATTCACAGTCGGGGAATTCATTACTCCGACGATTAATCTCTCTATTTTTCAACCTTGTACGATATGGCTCTATTTTCTGTTCAACGCAGTAGTAATAAAAGTTATTCGTAAACATATTACAAGCAGAAAAAACAACGTTGTTTGAAATACACACATATAGTTGATTAACAGTATAGTGACTGTACTTCAGAACAATAATATTTCGAGAAAATTATCTTGGTTAAAGAAAATTTTAAGAAATTCGGAGTATCCACGGGTACAGACACGCATGTAAAAAAAAACGTAGGTCTCTAGTATGAAGGTATTAGAGTCCAGTTTCTGTGCACTTTGGTATATAGTCTGACGACATGAAGTATTGAGAGAAGAACCAATCAAAAGCGAATGCACGTAAAAAGTGATCCTCATTTTTAAGAAATTTGTTCTAGTTTATACTACAGCTGATGTTAAGAGTTTTCAAAATATATATTCACAGTTCTCTGGCCAATAGAACCCTGTGGAATCCGAGGAAAAATAATTACGGGATCGGGACCGGGATCAGTCTTACTCGATAGGATCGGGATCACGATTTAAGCTACTGAACAGGATCGGAATTTTCTTTTACCAATTTATTGAAACTATATTCTTCATCACAAAAATAAAATAAACAAACAAAATGTCAGTTTGCTTGTGTAGACATCAATGCACAGTAAAAATAAAAACAATATCTGTTTAATAGCCTACATATCCGTGTGAAAATCGAAAATTAAAAAGAAAATATATAGTCGACAGCCTAAACATCCGTATACAGAAAGAAAGAAAGGGAAAACCAACAATTTACTTGTTGTTGTCCTTTGGCTCATACGATAGTTTATCAGATTCTTTCTTTCAACCTGTCGCACATGAGTGACAGCTGCCTCTATTTTAGTGAAAAATATTTTCGGGATTTAACGGGATTGCAATCAAGCGTACGGCACGGGATCGGGATTGGAGAAAAGATATTTTCGGGATCGGATCGGGACGGAAAAACTAAAATCCCGCACGATTGAGTTTTTCCGTTTTAAACCAGCCCTGCGGCGGGGCTCTACTGGCCAGAAACAATTGAGATTACTATCTTCAGACACTAAACGCTATACCCATGGAAACTGTTCTGTATCAGCGACCAAACACATTCGCATTCATTCTTACAAGGCGCTCATTTTATGTCGAAAAAAATTTATATGTAAAAGAAGTAATGATTACTTTTGTTGATGGTTGATAGAGACGAAACCCACGATAGAAAAGAATACCAGAAAACAACTGATCGAATAAATTTTTTTAATTGCTATGCCAATTGACTGAGAAAAAAACAAGAATGCTCGGATAGGATATTGTTTCGTTGAAGTGGTGTAATTGTGTTGGTTGCTTGCTATTTCAAGCTTGAACAATGAGGTAAGAGAGTTCTTATTTTACTTTTAAACAAAAATTCGACTAGACATCAATTCTTGTTTTCAGTTATTGAACACATAATTTTGACTCTGAAAGAAAAGAGTGATATGACTAGCAGTGACCTCTCTTTTTATTGGATCAAACGCATAGCCTATTAATCACTTTTATCTGTCTGATATGAGTCATCGTTTGTCACGTTGTATTTATTTTTTTCATTTTTATACTTTTAAAGACGTCTTTTCTTATTATTTTCACCTCTGTACGTTTAATATGACAACAATTTATTACGAATAACTGAAAAGAACACATATATCTTATCTCTGAATTGTCACTAGAATACACGTCACGCTAACTTATTCGATCTATGCCAGAAGTGTAAATACTTGGGTCACAGCTTCTGTTACAACCCTCTGCTTTTTGAAAATTATTTTGATATGTTGTCTAGAATTTTAAACAGAGGAAAACAAACATATTTTCCACAAGTAGAAAACAATCACTCTGCCTTTTTATGCGCTGCGCTTAAGTGAGAAAAATGTGGAACCTACAAGCGTATATTGATGACTCTCACTTTTTGTGAATAAAATAGTCTTAGTCTTATATGAACTTCATTCTTTTCTTGTACAAGAGGATTTGTTTTCACATAATTCTCTTCCAGTAAAACTGTAGTTCAAAACGAAAATGGATTATTCATTTTTCAGATATTGAATAGAAAATACGATGGCTTCGAAAGATCCGATAAAAAAGCCTTCGCCAAAATCCAGTCATCCAACGCCAAAATTTCAGACAGCAGATGACGATTTTGACACCGATCCATCCTACGTGGTACGTGTATTTATACAACACGAATTTTATTCTATTATATATATATATATATGTTTGATACGTTTTTAGAATGATGTTGATGAAAAACAACAACGTTATGGTTCACAGACGGTGCCGGGATCAGGTCATACAGATCATGTTGATTTTGAGTCTGTACAAGAAAAGATGAAAACGGCTTCTAATCAAACTAAAACCAGCTATCAAGCGAAAAATCCAAATTCTGGTTATGGTACGTTTAAAATTACGCATTTTGTCATATCATGAGTTTACTCAATCTCTTATAGGTGGAACATATGGAACAGAGAAAACAATGGACAAGGTTTGATACTTGTTACATTGTTATTTTGAACTAGAATAAGTAAAAAGTACTTTAGAATGCCGTTGATTATACTTATCGTTCGGAAACAGAAAAGCATGGATCGCAAAAAGGTACAGCTAGGTTTAATGACTTTCTAATCTATTTTAAAGATAAACGGAAGAAGTAAATAAAAGATCAGTTTATTTTGAAATCTAATAAAATATTAACATAACAATAACAAAAAGAAAAAATTATTAGAAGGTCAGAGAAGAGGGCGGTATTGGAATATGCATGTCATTGTACAGTGCCGAGCAATAGATAATTGAGGAATTGATGTACCAAAATTTTGTATAACATTCGTCCATTATATATATGAGTTGATGCTAAGCTTTTTTATACTTGTTGCAGATTTAAACTAATATTATACAAGTTATACGTATATAGTACGAGTTTTCTGTTTCTGTCCATGTTTGGTGTTACGTAACCATTGTACTAGTATAATGATCTAACAGAAAGTTCGTCTTGTTCATGGGTTTTTGAAATGATGTAGATTGATATAAGCAAAAATAAATTCATCAAAGGACATCATCGATTTTTAAAATTTCAAGTAATTATCTTTCTATTATAGGGTAAGATAGAAATTTATAAACCACATCTGATTATATGTTTCTTAGTCTTAGGACTTGGTGCTATATAGTTCTTGTGAAAACTAAAAAGTTTGGGCACTGGGTATCTATGTGATACCCATGTAATAAGATCCTTTGATCATTTAGAACGGTTTTACTAACGCAATATCAAAAGTGTACCTTAATTTTGATAATAAAAAGTTTATAACTCTGAAAAGACAATATGTTTTTATGAGACGTGTGTTATTTTGTAGCAGAGAATATGAGGATGTTTTTCTGCAATTTCGATCTTCCGATAAACGTTGCTAATGGAGACAGCGTTTTTGGCTTATCATGACCTAGTAAAAAAAATCAAAATGTTACTTAGTTTTTCGAACGGTTCTCGACCTTCTCAGGATTACACAATAAACCAATGACATGCACAAATGCACGATCATCTCGTCTATCCAACGGTAAAATGTGTTTGTCAAAAAAGTAGAAAAACATTGAAAAAAATTTTTTATTACATGGGTATCACATAGGTGCCCAGTGTCCAACCTTTTTAGTTTTCACAAGAACCATATAGCGCCAAGTCCTAAGAAACATATAGTCAGATGTGCCGTTAATCACCTGAAATTTTAAAAACCAATGGTATCCTTTCAATCGTTAACTTGACCAGATATATAAAATATTTTATTATTAAAAGCGTTGTTCATTCGGACGTTGACGTTACCATTCTCGTTTATGGAACTGTACTTAATTATTTCTGTATGAACACTAGGCGATTCATTCCTCGATATTTCAACCAAATTTGATATGACATTCGATTGCCACTAGAATATAGCACGTCTGTAGTGTCGCTCGACTATATCCTTTTTGACGATTGTCTTGAGAAATAGGCAACTCCGATTTGAATCCTCTTATCGAAACCCTATCCTTGATATGACTCCGTAGGAAACGCTACATTTTTAGATGTATTATTGTCGATATTGCCTGCATACACAGTCTGTCTTCACTTAAAATCTGCTCAACTCCGAAATTATTAATTCTAATTTGTGTTTGAGTTCTCTATCTCTATTCTATATTCCATTTACTATTGAATCTATTAGTTAGTACATTCATTTCTTTACTCTTATACTTGCGCATTTATCCACATTAATTTCACCTATCTGTGACAAACAATAGAAACTTTTTATTTTTATAAGATTCCACCAAGGGATATGGGGGAAAGTTTAATGTACAACAAAATACACAAGATAAATCACAAATAGAACAAACAGAAAAGCAACCACCACAAAAAGGTACAACAGAAAAAATTAATAATCTATCACATGATGTTTCTTACTTTTCTTTTTATATTACAATACAGTTCTGGAAACAGCTAGTATCCAAAAGAAACAAGCTAATGATACTAGTGGTATATATATTAATGTGTTGAATTCTAGTTAATTGTAAATTTGCTTCTCTGTTCTAGATCGTAACATGACAAAAAACATTGTAGAAAAACATTCATCTACTGTTAGTGCACAACCTGTATCTAGCAATGAAAGCGTAAAAACCATTGCAGAAAAACATTCATCTACTATTAGTCCACAACCTATGTCTGGCAGTGAGGGCGTAAAAAATATTCGAGCTAGGTAAGTAATTTTATGCTAAAACTTTTCTTAAAAAACAATCTAATCTTTTTCCATAATAGGTTTGAAAACATTAAAAAAGAACAAGCAGCCGACACAGACAAACGTGTTGCTGAAGAACGTGCTAAACGAAATAATAAAACAGAGAGTGAAAAAACGACTTCTTCGCCTTCTACTCCTCCTGTGGTAACGTCGTTTGTCTCTACTGAAAGTAGCCATAAACAAGCATCTTCTCCATCACGTCAAGAAGTAAAAGAAGATGATACTAATAAAAATGTGGAGACAGTGCAGGAAGAGACCGTTGTACAAAAACCCACTGAACAATCTCAGATAGTGCAGACTAATAATAAAGAAGAAGTGAAACCACAATTCATTGGTAGTATGGATATATCTGGTTTGAAACTGCGACAAAGACGTGATTCGTCAGATGAGGATCAAGAAAGTACCGATGAAGAGTGGGAAAATGAAATGGGTAATAATAAGAAAAAAACAAACCAGAAACAAGAGAAAAATCACAGTCTCTCTCCGCCGCCTGTAAGTAAACAACAAGAAGAAAAAGAATATCAAAAGGAAGAGTCAGTTTTGTCTGTTGCCATTATCGAATACTGCGAAAAGTTTACTGATTTTACATTCTAATCACTTCTCACCTTCACTTTGACTAGCGTTTAACTTGAAAAATTTAAACATAAGAAAGGTTTGAATTTTACGTTACATACAGACAATCTTTTGTTTCAGAACGATAGTGATGAAGGCAAAACATGACTGCTACAGTTCAGTAAAAATAAAAATTGCTCTGTGTTTTCTAATGAGTTGCTTTCATTACTGTTTAAATCTTTCATTGTCATAATGTCTGTTTTATTTATATTGAAGGAGCATGAACAATGATGGTCTGGCAAATGTCATGATCAATTCGGTGTATGTCCTTCAAACTATGTTGAAGAATTATGATGATGATAATGATTCCATGTTTTTTAGTTTTGTCTCTAATATTTTATCAATCAGTTACACAATATCTAGTTTATTGCTACATTTCTTGTGGTAAACACATATATATATATATAAACATTAAATTCTTTTTTATGCTTGCTGGTATAAATAGTATTCGATAGTCAATTTTTATATATCTGTTTTGAAGAATATTTTGTAACGATCCATTTTGTGATAAAAATTTTTAGATTTTTTTGTTTATGTGTATAAGAAATTCATTTCTTACAACCATTTTTTTGTATGTATGTGAAGAAACCTAGTCTTTCATATGTTCTAATGCTTTTCTTCCAAATAATATTACACTATTTTTTGATTACTTTTTTCTTATAACTTTTCTTCCAAATATCTTTTATTTTTTATATTGTTTATTTTATTTTCTGTAATTTAACTGTGCAATCAAATTTGTGTGTTTATCAAATATTTTAGTCGATTTCTTATGCATTTTTATCAATATATTTTTTGATAACGTTAAATTTTTTTTTTATAATAATATTTTATGTGACAGATTTTCTTGAAGGAAATCACTCACAATATTTCTATAATTAAAGTGAAGTTTTAATTTGATTTGTTCAATTTATTTCATGTTTTAGTTATTTTGATGCAAAATCAGATACGCTAAAAGTTTGATTTTCAAGATATTTTATTTGAATTCTTCACCAGGCATATGATACGACATGGAATAATAAATACATCACAACAATACTAAAGCAGCATTTTTATCGTGGTTCTTATTAATAATTTATATAAATTTATTAATCAATATTTTGGCGAAATAATATTTTTGATACTAAAAGCATGAATTTAGACAGAATTGTGTTAATGATGTATCCTCATGTGTTTGTGCATGATTGAGTACAATCCAAGTCACCAATGTCTGCATTTTCCAGCGACTTCATGACAGATTTTTCAGAAGTCTTCAGTAGAAATTCTGTATTTCTGTCATTTTCAGTTTCTAAGGTCTAAAAACTAGGATTTTTTAGATAATTTTGAATACTCTATCCGATAAACGCATAAAAAAGGTAGATTTGTTTTTGACTGCATAACTGACTTTCTCAGTATGGACTGTCTTTTAAATCTACATTTTCCTTACTGGATCCACTGGATGATGAACCATTATTTTGATGTTACGATTTGAATAGAGCAATTTTAGCCTGCCAGTTGATATCCTTTCATAATCTGTCTGACAGCTTTAGATATTTTCTCCACGTTCATGAGATTCATGAGAACAAATTTTCAATAATACAAACATATTTGTACGTAAGAGTATTCTGAACATGATCGTTTATTGAAGAAACTCAAACATATTGAAATAGGGAAGTACGAAACAGCGTGATCATAATTGCACTAAAGACTGCGGCCAAAATGGAAATCGGATGCAGTATTAGAAAATACACAATTGATTTAGGATATTACATTACTGTTACACTCATATCCTTTAAATTGAATTCAAATAAGATTGAATTGCGGCAGTTTAATATCTCAGAAAGGATTACTTTTCCATCAATCATAATTTTCTGTATCTGATAAGCGTAACAAGTAAATAACATAGGAAAAAAAAGAATGACCGTATGATGTTGCAATGTAAACGTAAAGAATAATAATAGACCTATATACAAGCAAAATAATTAAAAAATGCATACAAAATCAACAGCGAAAAAATAATAACGAACGAACGAGAAATAATAATAATTTCGATCAAAAGAGGTCATATTTTGTGTGTGGTTATATTGGACATATTAGAAATATGTTTTATATAATTCTAACTGTACTCTATCATTGACGCATGTTTCTAAAACAAAACAGTCTCCACCAAATATTCGTGCGGCACCTGTAATGTTTACATTATTATTTCGTATATTAATTTTTTTTAAATCACCATTGGATTCTAATAAAAATAAATTTTTTTCTTTCATTAGTTCAAGAGCTAACCATTGTTGATTCGATAAATCTAGAAATAATAAATAAAATAATAATTTATTTATTTTTAAAATATAAAAAATAAATAGTTTAAATAAATATTTTAAAATTATTTACCTAATAGAAACCAAATGCTAAATTCTGGTGGATTAATTCTTCGTAATCGTTCCATTGTTTGAATATTAACAAAATCGATCAATCGTTTATCTCGTCCTTGGGATTTTAAATGTATATTCATTGCCATACAATTATTTGTGGATAAGTGTAATGACATAATGTCATCATCTCTCTCATATTCCATTTCAGTTTTAAACCATTTTTTCATAAGTTTAATTCGAGGTTTTTGAGATGATAATAAATAATGACTAATATATGTCCCATACTCGTGACTAACAATGAGAGAATCATTAAAATTAGTAATACATGATAAAGTTTTATCATTCAAAGGATGAATATCATGAATTCGTGTAAATGTAAGAGATGAACAGTTCAATGTAAATAAGGAATGTTTTGAAAGTATAAAAAATTCTTCTAATAATGTACACCAAGATGTCCAAACAATTTCACCGTTTAAATTTTTATTCCAATCAATTTGAATTATATCACTTCCTGAAATGCAAACAAAACGTGTACAGTAAGCTGAAGAGATAAAATTTTAAAATAATGATAAATATCATAAATGGAGTGAAAAGAACCAAAGAAATCTCAAACAGACTAAACATGAATCGAGTGCCATAAGTCAAACATTAATAAAAGATATCTCCGGCGAACTGTTCTTTAGTGATCTTTCGAATAAGACTTCAATAATATTGAATATCTGAAAGATCTGTAACGTTTACCTATGAATTACATTTTGATCAAGTTTACCTTTTGTAAATAACTTTAATTTAAATTTCAATTCATCATAAACTAATATATATTTATTTGATGTATCACAAAAATAGCAACATTCATTGTCCATCAATATTCTTTTTAAACAGGGCGAGTTTAATGTTCGCTCTAATCCTTGAACTGTAACTATATGTTGTCCCTCAACATCATTTCCATTTACTATTGTGCTATGTGTATCATCACTAACATCCATATCACCATTAATTGGTGGCCATGAACTAATTTTCAATTCGTTAATAGCATTTTGAATGATCAACAAAGACATTTTAATTTCATCATATTCTTTATCAACGTGTTTTGAATGTTGATCTTCTTTCAGTAATATAGATTTAATCTTATTTATATATCTAAATACGAAGAAAGTCGGACTGGATGATAAATATAGGTAATAAATAGGATCAATGTCCTCCAAGTGAAATTGGATGAAAGAATTTCTAATAATTTATCATTGATGGAGAATCGTTTACCTGATTTTTTGATGTTCAAATTCTTGGAATGTTTCCATGTATAATTGTCTAATTTCTATCGATTTTTTATGATGAATATTCTCAATTTTTTCTAACATATTCTGTTTCCAATAGTCCAATTGTTTTTGTAAATGTAAACGATTATCATGAATTATTAGTTGAGGTAATTGAATTGTATTTACTCGTTCAGTTGTTTGTTGTAATTGTAAATTGAGTAGATTCAAATGATCGACAAGGTGAGAAAGACATGAATCAAATTGACAATGAGAACATTTTAGAAATGTAAAATTTGTACAACAACGATCGTACGACGTACAACATTTACTATTTTGAGAATAACTGTTATGATAACTAGAATAACTGTTAATAGAATGATTTGTTGTGCCAACTGTACATGTGTCAGATGAGGATGAAGATCGTTCAGAATCAGAGGATGAGGAAGATGCAGCCATTGTTTTATCTAATCTAATGCAATTTATGAGTTGAATATTTACAATCAAAGTCTAAAATAAATAATGAAATATATTATTTTATTGTAAAAACCTCATTCTGAATGTCAGTTTTGAGTATAGGGAAGAGGACAGCTTTAGCTACTCCTATTCCTTTTCGGATGAACATATAAGAAAAGATGAAAAATACAGAACATGCTTAATTGGTTTGAGATTATAGTTTGTAAATTGACTGTAAGATGAATCCTCATCTATTCGCATAGTTAGATGATCCCTTCTCACTAACGAAAGGAACTGTACTAAAATTTAAAAGTCAATGATGCTAGATTCTAACTTTATAACGGTTGAATCTTTTCGGTTTTGTATAAGTTTTCAATTTTGATTCTTTGTTCAAATTAAGCTTTTTAAAAATAAAGAAATTAAGTGCTAACACGAAGAATAACAAACAGTTATCTCAGTCTGATGTAGCGTTAAAACCAGTACTAGTTCTCTTAATGTTGTGATAGCATAAGATCAGCTGTTTTTTTAAATATTTGTGGTCAACAAAGCTTGGTAAACATTATTCTTCACTAAATATGCATAGAGAGAAAGAGAGAGAAAGAGAGAAAAATAAAAAGTGACAGACATAAAAAATATCAAACAATGGAATGTTTTTTTCATGCTTAATTGGACCAATTTCAACCATTTAGATATGACACACTAGACTCAGTCAACAGTTAAGATTTGCGACATTAGTGACATTTTTAATTTTGACATCGAGAAAAAGACCTGATGAAATCAACATTGACATATAATTTGTAGGTCTTTTCAATATATATTCTCAAATATAATGTCAATAGTTAGCAAAAATTTGAAATAAGATTTCAATAGCTGAAGGGTCTGGGTTTTAAGAATATTCAAAAGAAGTTTTGCCAACGTCCGTAGTGGATGTGCTTGATGCAAATACTTGATTACTTGCCGAGTACTTGGGTACAGAGTTGGGCAACTCCGGCCAAGTACAACTCCAACTCCACTTCAACTCCGAGTTGAAATCTATTTGTTTTTTTGCCTTCCTGTTTTTTAATTTGTCCGTATAACGGTCATGTTTTCTTTTATAATAGTATGCACAAAAAAATCATTATAATAAATCAAAATTACATTTCAATAATGTTAACTTTGAAAGCATATTCCTTGTCATACTACTACGATGTGATCGAAACCAAAAACCTGATTGTGAAAAACACGCTCCACAGGAGATGATATAGCCGGAACGCATAGGACTTTTTGAACTAGTTTACTCAAAAGTGGATATGCTACGGCTTTATTTTAAAAAAGAAAACTATTTCCACTATCGTCTTTAAGATAGCTTAGTAGTTTCTTCTATCGTTTAGTACATCCAATCGCGGCTTTTTAGTTTTATTCTGTGTAGAGCAATATCCAAAAAGACTCTTTCGTTTTTCTCCCGAAACAACATCCATACTTTTATTTTTCTCGTCACCTGCTTCATCGCCAACCTTACAAGAATTACTACGAACACTACTACTTAGTTGTATTGCAGCATCAGAAACCAATTGTTTTATTATCTGATTCATATTCTGTTTAACTGAATCGGGTAACTTTGATAAGAGTATCCAATTGAGTTTAAATGTAGCATCGAGAAATGGTGAAATTAGAAAAATATTGAAATTTGTTGGTAGAGCAGTTGGAAATAAGTATTTGTAAATCGAATATAGAACTGCTATGAATAACATGACTTTCAGTTGGCATCATCAGGAATGTAATAGACATTCGAACAAACGATGGTATAAAAAGAAGCGAATAGATAAGAAGGATAGAACAGAAAAAGAGAAATAACTCAAGGAGAACCTGTAGTTGGCATAGCTGCACGTTTTTTTTTTGTTTTTTATTTTTTAAACTCATCAGTTCGTACATCAGTTCGCTAACTTCTCCTGTGTTAGAATACTCTCTTTTATGGTTCTGCGTTTCCAATCTTGTTCCCAGGCTAATGTCTCAACCTTAGAGAAATCGAATTCATGATGGTACTTCTCTACATGTTCAACTAACTTGAAGTTTGTTGTCATCCGTCTAATATTCGATTTATGTTCTTGCATTCGTTTATGTCGTAGAGTATAGCTTCAGAATACGTACAAAACACAAAATAAAGATAAATGAAGCAAGTACTTGGCTGAAGTTTTTCAAGTAGTTTTCCGTGCGTTGAATCTACCAAGTGGCTCTTATAGAAGTGCTTAACAAGCAATTCAAAGTACTTGTAAGTAAAGTTACTTCTAGAAAGCCACCAGGGAGTGGCTTCATCATCAACCACTTTGTCAAGTCATGGATGTATTCACTTAGAGTTACTGAGCTTTTCCGTAAGTAAATCAAGTACTTGAGTTTTTCTTGTTGAGTTGCCAGAAATTCGAACTTCGAATGAAGTTTTTTTTTGAGTTTTCTATAGATGGTTGGATAAAGCTGATTAAGCCAATTATAAACGACCAATTTATTTCTTTAACGAGTGAGCCAGAAATAATGACGCACTTTTGTTCTCTTTTCTTCCGACCACAACTGAGGTTTGAAGATTCTAAACTTATTCGACAGAGAATTTTCTGCTCTACAAAATCCATCACCTTTCATTACATATTATTTCATTATTTTAAAAAATAGTGCAGAATACTGATAGGTAAAAAGTATAACTGCAATTTCCTATCAAAATTTTGGTGGCTTTTCGTTTTTGTGTAACTTTTCAAGAAATAATGTGATAATTGAGAGCAGAAGGTGGTATAAAAATGTTCAGTGGATTGAGCGCTATCATCCAGACTACACTACTTATTCGTTTGGTCACCCAAATTGTGAAGTTTTCAGTGCACAAGTTAATATGTACTTTCGAGTAATGTGGGATTTTGAAAAAGCAGGAAAAGGACTAGTCCAACAACGCACTGAAAATGTGCGTTATAGGATTTTGTAGAGCAGAAAATTTTCTATCTTCTGAAATCAGAACGAAGTCTCGGAACCATAAGGGATATAGATAAAATTGGTAGATACATGAATAACCCCATAATTTCAGGACCATCCATCCTTAGTGGCAAAATGTTAGGAAAAATTTTATTTCTCAAGGCGGATTAATTAAATGAAGGCGAATTCTTTACACAAAGTACCTGTGATGAATATTGATTATTGACTAATTGATTATTTACTAACAGAAGCGTTATTGAATAATCAATTAGATCAACTAGAAAAATAATTATAACCTGTTTCTTCCGTCGTAGTTACACTGTCAGTACTCTGCACTACTTTTTAAAATAATGAAATAATATGTAATGAAAGAAGGTGATGGATTTTCTAGAGCAGAAAATTCTCTGTCGAATAAGTTTAGAATGGAATCTTCGAACCTCAGTTGTGCTCGAAAGAAAAGAGAACAAAAGTGTGTCATTATTTTTGACGTTATTTGAATTTTCACGTCGAAAAACTCCTGGGATTTTTAGCAAAAAATGAAAATCAACGAAAATTTTCGAAATATACTCAGTTATTATATGAAAAATAAAGAACATTAATTTAATATAATTATATGTGTATATAGCTGAAGAGTAGTATACAGCATCTAGATATACAATGCATGTATACAGTGCTTAAATACATTATACAAAGATAAATATCTTTTTATTTGAAAACATTTTGCACATGAATGTGATCTATGATATTTTTATGCTAAATGTTGATGTTGAGTTGGTTCAGGGCAATCATGATGGACATTGACTCCACGCATAAACTCACAATGACAATAATAATTATTAATATGTTGTTTGGATATTGTAAAAAATATAAATTGATCATTGCTTTTTTAATGTGACCTTCTGATAATGGTGCATGTTGTCGAACTTTGTTAAATTCAGGAAAAAATGAATTATCAAGAGAACAAATTTATTTTGTAGCTTTTGTTGGTAGTAACTGAACATCTACTATTTGTTCACATTGTTTTTTATGAAATATATCTAAGATTTTTTGTTTATTATGAATACGTGCTGTATCCATAAATAAATATATCGGATATATATCAAGCCCGTCAACAGCTTTGGCTGATATGTAATACTCACGCTTGTTGCTTGAACGTAGCATCGTAATAACGACTCGTCTTTAATTAAAAATATAATACAAACAATTGAAAGATTAAAATAAACTTTCTGATGTGCAAAGCAATTTGTTCCCCATTGTTAAGTTATATTTTCTGCTACGTTCCCAAGTTTCTTTATGTAGACTAGCTATATGCATGCTCGTAGAGTATGACCAGTCGAGTAAGAATATAAATAAAATTCATGGCTTTATTTAGGTACATAAAAACAAAAAAGTGGAGTGAGACTTTTCGCCACGACAGTAGTGAATGATAAATTTTAATAAATTAAAAGAGTTTGCTGGAATCCAGAATTTCTTCCCTAGTTAAGAATCTACCGTCCAGAATAACAATACATAGTTTGATTGCCACATCAGGATATAAAATATGATAATTCTTCCTACGTTAATGTTCATGATCAAAGATAAGTAAAGTTTCTAGATATATTATACAAGAAAGATGATGACGTTTATCATTAATTATGCGACTGAAACGCGGGTTGTGTTTTTTGTGATGATCAGAACATATTCATAGATAAAATTTGAAATAGAGATCAGTGAACCAAATCTTCGTAGGGGCGAATCGATTTCAAATTCAATCTAAGTCAAAATCACGTTACGTACATGAAGAAGACATCATTGATCTACCAATAAAGTCTTTCATTATTACGACTGCACGATGCGATATGGTTTTAATAAGACTATAGACCATCAAAATCAAAAAAGTAAAGCTTATTGATTAATAAAAAGACAATATGGAAATGTCGTACGAAGGGATGCGAAAAGAATTAATGATCAAGTGTTATCTGGTATGTAATCATCTGTCTAGTTCCACTTGCTCTTACAACTAAATTCATTTTTTTCTGCACAACTCCTATTTTCTATAGTCATATAAGTTAATTTTTGTTTCAAACGTTTGCCTATGTGGAAGCGCTTGCGAGTGATGGACGAACTCTGACTTATTCTCGTCAATCACTAAATATAACTGTATAACACTTTCGACACTCAAAAGTTTTATTTACTTTTTATTCGTTCATATTCAAAATGTAAAAAGTCTAGATGTTTGTTTAAAATTCAGACTCTTGATCAGTCGAACGGTGAAGCAAGTTGTACTATGGGCACGATTTGAGACAACGAGTATAACTGGCTTGCTAAGACTGTCATCGTTAAGATTCAAACATCGTACCATTGACGTGTGATGTCAAGCCATTTGTGAATCCAGCCATATTTCTCGATTATATTTAGTTTAAACGATTTGATCCTTTTGATCTTTAAATTACAGTAAACTTTTTCATTTGCCTATTTACTGACTTTCTCTAGTAAATTAGATGGTTTGCTAACTTTTAGGACAGAAGATATGATTCAACTGGCCATATTCACTAAAAAAAAAATGGGCTTTAATAGATATCTTCTTTATTCTCTTTCTATTTGTTTATTCGATTGAAATTCTTTCTCGCACATAGAAAAACAACTACAAGCGAAATACAATAAGATTGAGAAACAGAAATTTCTTGACAAGAAGAAAAAAATAACAATTACATAATTATAACAGCAAAGAAATAGAAGAGAGATGTAGAAAATAACGGAACGCATACTGTACACAACAAACACGATATTCAGCGAAACTGTTCGAAAAAACGAAGCTGTATTCTGCTGGATAAATATTATCGTTCGAAATTCTATATATATAGGCTTTTTTCTGTATACATATGCTAGACAAAGTTGAATACTCAATGAAAAAGCAAACAAAAAAATTTCGCAATAGAAAAGTCGAATTATTGACTGTGCACGAAGGAATGAGTGGAGAGAGAGAGCGAGCAAGAACAGGAACATTAAGATTCTTTTCATGTAGCTCATCTATACACGGTAACTGAATTCAGAATCAAATTTCTATAAATGACAAGTAAAGTCCTCGATTTTGTTCAAATTCCAGAGTATGATAGATACTTAAGTACGTTACAATCAATGATAAAGGAGCAGCATTTTTTGTGAGTGTCCCTTACTCGCATTATTTCATCAGACCATTTCTTTTTTTCATGCTACGAACTCCCTCCAAAATAGATAAACAAAAAATAGATCGACTATTTTTTGCAAGTTAACATTTGCACACACTGAGAAAAAAAAAATGTCTCCGAAAATGTGCACGATGTCCTCTCATAAGTTAAGTATACATGAGTTCGGCTGCTCCAGATAAATTTTTAGGTAAATAAAGATAATTTTCCAAATAAGCAGCCAATTCTTCGACATTGCACGCTGTAGGTGTTGACGGTATTGGTGTTGGTATTGCCATATCATCACTAATAACCTCAGTTGTTTCCTCTGTATTTGTTAAATAAGAGTGTGGTTTTAACCGCTGATCACTAATTGTACAAGAATTTAACGAATGTTGATCTTGAAGAGCTGAAGCAGAGAAAAAGAAACATAATGTTGTCAGACTACTTCGTAGACAGTAGAACACATTGGCATAGAGCAACGAAACAAAATCATTTTGATTAGAAATATTCCTTCTCAAAAATCTAAAAAGAATTCTCATATTTAGAATTCTGTATTTATTCCAGACTAAAAGACATGTCAGTTACCATTTACCTAGTGACTGCGCATTTATCATTGACTGATTTTTTAATAATGTTAATAGTGTTGTTGATATTTGGTGAGCTTGTTCCGAGATAGGCGTTATTGGCAGACTAGGTGTCGAGGACAGTTCATCATCTTCAAATATTTGTGGTAAATAATTTGATTTTGTTCGATAGATCGTTAATGGTCTCCGTTGAAATCGTTGTAATGGAGGATAGAATGTTGATCGTTTATGCCATGGTACTATCGAATTACGAGAAATTGTTGATACACAAGAAGTTGATAATGAACGAAAACGTTGTGAAAGTGACGAACGAAATGAACGTTGAAACCCAGGTAAATGTTGGACAGATGATTCTCCACATAGTTTTAGTGACGATGTTGTCCTATAAGGAGCAAGAACGGTCGTCGAAGAAGAAACATTGTTATTATTTCCATCTTTAGTTGTTTCTGCTATTACAGAAGATTTTTTCACAGAAATAGATGGCGTGGAGGGTGCTGTTATTCCAGATCCAAAATAACATGGTAATTGAGAATTTAAACGTTTTAATCGACAGCGAAATGCTTTTACTTGACTATTTGGCACAAACCGAAATTTTTGTAAGCTAGATGAAGAAGAAGAAGAAACGTTCCCATCAATAGATCTAAAACGCAAAATACTTTTAGCAAATTAAATATATTACTAGAGAAAAAATTACTAACTTTAAACGCCCAAAAGAACTTTCGTCAATTAAATGGCATAAATGATCAATATCAGCAGGCGTACTAGGCGTCTTGGCTTCCATAAAAACGTTTCTTTTTATTTACCATAAGCGAAACAGGAAAGATAATTCCTTATTAATCTTCAGGTGACAATCTAAACACACAAAAAGAAAAAACATTAGGAGAATTTTTAGCAGATATATTGTCGTTAAAACCACCATAAAGATTTCTTTGAGGATTGACCTTTAACCATAATCTTCCAGCTAGTGTTCCTCTTTGTAAGGATAAGGGTAAACATGATGTTCAGTGCGAAATACCTGACAAAGAAGTTAGAGTATTGAGTTGATTTATGCACTTGAAATCACTTACAACGTTTCTATTTTGTACGCTTATGAAACGTACTCGGAAGAAAAAAATTTGCTCGATCAGTAATATCCAGCGGTATTTTTCAACACATTTATAAGGACAAGATATAAATATAAATTGTGTAAACCATCATCTGTTTCAAACTCGTCTATAGATTGTTTTTGTGAAAAAAGAAAAATAAGAATCGAACTGGAAAGAAAACGAAAAAGGTATTCCTAATTTTGACAGATGATATCACATGCTCATTGCTCAAACTGCCGTTTCATCGTATTTCAGTTATCCACACTTTATCTATGATCCATTCAGATGTTTTGTTACATCCATAAAATGATAGACACTGTAATTATTTTAATGGAAGACACACACGAAACATGGGCTTAATTTATAGTTATTTACAGGCTAGCTTTGATTGTCTATAACGAAATATCTTATATAGATAGATGTCAGGTAACAGCAAGAAAATAAAAACCGTAATAAAGTTAAAATCAAATTGATACTAGTGCTTAATGACAGAAATTTTAACGAAAGCTTAAATCCTCACCTTTGCTGTTTTACACCGTAAAGTGTGATCCACTAATGAATGTTTGAGTAATTGTTGAGGAAATGAAATGAAATTTTGTTTTTATTTGAATTTAATACATTCATCTAATAAATTTCTATTAATAAAAACGAAAAAGTGCTCAGAACAAGTACCCATGTCGTCGGTTTTTATTGAAACCGATGATTCATCGCGGTTGTTGAAATTACTGTCGGTACAGCAGACAAACCGATGGTTAACCGCAGTCAGTGTAAAACACCGTCGGGTCTCTCAGTTAACCGTTCTTTTTTTCGGAGTTCATTTTTTTGTTTGTTGGGGCTCTCGTTTTGTTTTGTAATGGCGAATAGTATACGCAAACGAAAGGAAAATAAAAGATTTCTATATTTTTTAGTGCGATGTATATGATGACTCTTTGAAATCAATACAATAAGTCCGCTTGATGTCATAGTCATAGTTGCTGTCATGGTCATAGGACTGATAGGCTACCAGATAACTTGGGAAACATCATTAAATGTACTGATCATACTCCAGCTAACGAAAAAAACGGCTCTATAAAATGGAAAAACCGAAGAAGCATAGAATTATAGAAAAAAATACCAGACCAAGGTGAGATTTGATCAATCTTTGTATTCATTGCCATTCAAAACAGCTAAGGTTAACCGACGATTTTTTAGCGATTTGTATTACATGGGCACATATTCTCCATCTGGTTACATATTGTATAAAGGCATGCAATACGTACACTGAGTGAGAGCGCGGTACGCATGGAATAATTTTGACAACAGAAAAGTAACGAGTTGATATAGTGGCGGATCCAGAATTTTTTCCTTAGTACGTGCGGTGTACTATAAAAGTGTGAAACAGATGCAGTCGTCGTAAAAACAAATTATTCTGAGACAGTTCTGCTGAGAAAAAAGAGGTATTTTGCTTAAAAGGTATGTATGGCCGCACGATGGCTGGATCTACCACTACAAGTATGCTTATCGTAAAGCAAAAGTTCTCTTCTCATTCTATAAAGCGTTTGTAGATTTTTGACTATGGTTATCGTCATCACGACACTCGATTACCTATCGTATCAAAAAATGAAGTTCATACTTGTAGAAGTTTAGACCGGCCGATCTCTACTGGTCTTTTGCCGGTCTAGAAAGGCTTTCAAATCGGCCGGTGATTGACCGGTTTTTAAATTTTTCTCTTCTTCAATAAGAAAAAATGAGTTTTTCTATCCTCTTGTCCATCTAGAAAATATTTGAAAACCGACCGTTTGTTCACCGGTTGAAAAATTTTTTCAAAACAAGCCGTTCTTTTGCCGTTTTTCGGCTCTAATATTTTGTGAAACTTCTTCAGTATCTCCAAACGAGAAGGAGTTTTATACTCAAAACGCCTTGATTTTGACCTGTTTTTTAGCCTCCTCCTCCCCGGATGTATTCATCTTAACCTGGCGGTGTATTTCTCTCAACAGGGTAGTGTAATCATCGTATTCATGAGGTGTATTCATCTTAACAGAGTGGTGTATTCCTCTTGAAAGGGTAGTGTAATCATCTTAAAACATAGCTGTAGTTTTCATTGCTCTTCTATGTTAATGTACACTATTCCCAATACCATCTTTCGGCTAATGTAGACGACTTTCACCATTTTAGCCCCACAAGTGGCTGCCATAACAAGGTTTGTGAAACAAGGTCACACTTGTTTCACATCTGTTTCACCGAAATCTAAACGTAAGATATATTTAAGATCGTCTTCGTCAGTTGTATTATGTGGAATGTTGAATATGATGGATGCTCTATCTAAAGGAACAGCACACGAGACAAACACGCTCCTCTCGGATATTTCCTTCTCCGATTAGCGTATTTTATACGATTCGAGGAGCTGTCTATCGGGCATATTTTAATTTGGGAGGATTTATGAATATTTTCGCATCTTTCATAAACTATTCCAAAAAAAGACAGTATAAATTAAGCGCATGTAAGAGATTTTTCCGAACTTAATATCGAGATCTTTTGGAAAAATAACTTTTAGTATCCAGTTCGCGTTCGTTTTTATGTTCACGTGCAGTTAATCTATGGCAAAATATTCAAATCGTTTGATTTGAAAGAGAAAAGTTGAGAAGGCAAAAACATGCCTCAATCTGTTATAGACTTCTGGCTACTTTTATTCAGAAAATTCAGATGAGTCACGTGAGTTTACTGCGATTGACGTATATATTCTCGACGGGAGTTGAGAGAAAAGTTACAGAAAGATAGTTTCGAGGACTGCGCGTTCAGTGAGAATCAGTTCAAGTGTTTAAGATTCGAGACCTTCTATAACGAAAAAGGCGCTTGTAAAACAAAATTTATTTAGTGCAAACAAGTCGAGTATAAATATCCAATCTAAAATCGGAAAATGTCAACAGTATATCGCGTCCTTTAGTTGGTAGTAGAATAATTTTGCTTTGTCCACATTCTCAACATCCTCCTCAACGAGTCAATAGGTAACAAGCCATGCTCGACCGAAATTCCAACCTAAAGCAGTACTGAGCAACAGTTACAATATCCTTTTTCCAATTGTTTATACGGTGTTAATAGCAAATGAATCACAAGTAAACAACAATCACAACACGCTTTAAAGCAAATTGTTTAATCAAACTGAAATACTAAAGTTCATCAATTATCCATTTTTCTTGCAGGCTTGATAAACAATGATAAAAGTTCTAATGATAATCATGCAGACAGATATGAGTGTACTAGGTCACGATTAAACGCAGAAGTACAATAAAATATACTGCCATCATTTATTCAGGACCTACCAATCGAAGTTTTTTTGATAATATCGATGGACCAAACTTTCCATCCAATAATAGATAGTTTGGACTCAAGAAATATACGATATATTTGAATTTTCCTAATCCGTTAGCAAATTACAATGACGTTTTTTAACTTTATGAACATGTCAGATCGCATTTGTTGAGAAACAATGGGAAAAGCGACCTTACGTCGACTGGTATACTGAAGAAAAAGCCTGACAATAGACGTACTGTATTGTTCTAAACAATGTGGTATATGCTTCAAAAAAATGCCAGAATGTACCAAGTACAATAGATTAAGAGCTGATATTATATATCTCTGTACTTTTAATCTATTATTTTGTACAGTCATCTTTAATTTCGTTATGCGGTTAAGAAAGCGATGAAAGGAGGAAAAAACCGAACGTAAAAGAATTCAAATTGATGACTGCATAACATTACTTTGTGTATTTACAATTCAGATTCTAATTTGTTCAAAATTTCTTTTAAAATCTCAGTCGTTATAATCATTTGTTTTTTTTTGATTATATAAAAACAACACAACATACACAAACAGCAACAACAAAAATGTCACATATATGATTCGAATTATTTTGTCAAAACAAAAGAAGAATGAGAAGAAAAAAAATTACACAAAAGTATATGCATATATATTGACAAAAAATATTTTGTTTTATTTATCTTGACAAGAAAATATTTATAGATCAAAAACAGAGAAATGAATCACCAAACACGCCGATCTGGTAAATTAACCTATACAATCAAGTCACTATACTAGAGACGAAAAAAAGAGAGACATCCAACACAAATAAATAATATGCTCTCTTATACAAACATAAATATACACAATAAAATCTATAAGAGATCAACCGAAACATGAATGAGATTCTAATAAGATATAGACACTTTTCAAGTGAATTAACATAAAAATCCTGTTTAAAGAAAAACAAAAACCTATCTCAAGATAAACTAACTATGTAGAGTGAAAAAATATTAAAATTTCTCCTTAGCACCTATATTTTCAACGCAAAATGCTCTACAAAAGATTAATATCATGTTCCTGATCTTAACATTGAATCGGATCTCTAGTTATTCTCCGTATCCTATGTTCTTTAGTACCGCTAACAGTAAGAAATTCTCGCTTGAGGAAAACCTAATAGTGTAAGAAAAAGAAATCTATTTGTTTTATTGACTTATTGTTGTATCGTTTGATTCTTGCGTCATATGGTGATGTTGTGCTGTGGCAGTTGGCCAAACTTCTTGATTCGAATCTTGATTACTGTACAAACTATCAATTGTATTTTCATCCTGGTATTGTGAACCATCCACGGTCATTTGACTTCCATTTACCAACATTTGTGTAGATTCCTGGTCCTGTGGGGACGGTATCATTTGTGTATCTTGTGTCAACGAATTTTGAGTATCATTTGCTTCTGGAGTAGGTAATACTTGTGACGAGGTTTCTGTTGGTGATGTTGGTTGTAATTTAGATAGTTTCGTTCTTGTTGTAACAAGATCCTTATCAAGAACGGCACACGGCATCCATTTATGAACACGAATCGATGTATCGGTGATTGTTATCCAATGTTTTTCCCATCGGCGCACTTGTTGAAGTGCGTATGAACTAATAACACGTTTAAAATCATCTCTACCTTTAGCACGTGCTTCACTACGTAATCGAGTTGGAACAATCATTGTGATCCTTGCCGTACTAATCTAAAAAACAATTTTCTGATTTGCTACACATAGAAAAAAAAATTACTTTGAATCTACTTTTGTTAAACTAGAGCAAGATAAATTTTCTGTCATCTGTCTCGCAGCTATTCAATACATAAAAAGATTTATTTAAATATCTTAAGCAATAGTTTACACACTCTTCATTCTCACAATGTTACCCTTTGTCCTCGCTTAACTCTTTATGTAGTCTTACTCAGTGGTTTTCTCTTCCGTCCCGGACGGAAGAAAAAACCACTGGGCATTTCTTTCTTTATTTTACTCTTCTTGTCTTTCTTTTTTGTTTATAAAAATCTCTATTCGCTCCTTTGTGATTCATTATATACTTCAGTGCCTAGTTCAATGATTTCTTTTAGTGATTTTTGCCAACTGCTGTTTATTGTTTACTATGTCATAAATACAGACAAAGATTAAACTAAACTAATCATAGTGATTTAACATACGTGAGAGTGATGATTAAATTGCAGATCTGAAAGAAGAACAAATAATAGGAAACGTAAGTTTTTTTTATAACACTGATCTTATAAGTGTATACGGCTCGCTCTTTCGCGACAAACACGTGTGCATATCGCTAACAGAAAAATAAAGTTTGTACAAAGTTGCAGAAAGGTGCCTTTTCGTATTCAGCACACTCGATAACCTTGAAGACTTTCTATTTTTGGCGAGACCTATTGCCAAAAGCTTAAGAAAAATTCTGAAATTAATATTATTTTTTCATGCCATTTTGTTCAAAAAATTTTCCTAAATTTTTTCGTCACATTGATATGAAATGGAGCCAACATCAGTAGTAATAAATATGTAAACCAAAGCAAATTTTATACACGACTCTCATGCAAAATATCAGCTGCTGTGATCATTATCATCATGAAACGTAAAAATTTCCATTGGTGATTGTTTCTTAATGGCCTTAGCTCTCAAAGCTAATTAATACAGAGGACTTTAGTGAGCATTATCAAATTTGTTCTTAAATCTTAGTTATTATATAATTCTTCTATCTTAAACTTTGTTTTATCAACTAACCAAAAAAATATATTTAGGCCTGTTCTAATGTTCAACGTAACTATGGAAATGATTTTGATTATGTATTCTAGTATGAAGGAGAAATCTGTTGCATGTTTTCTTAGATCAGAAAATGTTTCCGTCGTGAATTCAATCTCGGTCGACTTAATGAAATACCTTTTAATTATAGATCACTTCATACATTTTCAGATACAATTCTTAGGAAAAATTTACATATTGGTCTACTACGTCACTTTAAGACTTTTATCACATCGTTGATTTCCCACTATAGAGTTGTACTTATGAGTGAATGACTCATGGTTTTATAGTCTAATGTAGCGCACTCTATATAATTTCTATCTTCGCACAGCTTGTAACTTTGACATTGAACACGTATTTTTAAATCTCAGTGTTTTTGCATTAAAATGAATTTCTGAAAAAGTGTGAGGTGTTTTTCAGAAGATACAAAATGCTGCGTTATAAGGGGGGATGAGAATTACTGGCAGAAAATTCACGTGTTGGTATTGAATTGGTGTTGTTGTATGCTAATATGCTTTTTCTTATAATTTATTGAACAGCGTAAATATGTTGTATTGTGAAAATCGTGATTAAAAAACTTTTACTCCTAATTGTGCACTGATTCCTTTTCTTCATGCATTAGTGGATTTCACAAACTAAACAAAACGCTTTTGAGCAATTCTACAGAAACATGTAAGAAACTATGCCAGTAACGTAGTTTCGAAGCAGCAGTTCATCAGATTATTTAAACAGACTGTTGCTTTTTTGTTTGTTCAAACCGAGCTCTCTGATATTTACTGAAATGGCGTGAAGTATGTCTTCAATCGAGTTTTAATTTGTAAGTTAAATGACTGATTAAAAGATTTAAAAAATAACAATAGAATTAGATATTGTATGATCGTCAACAGTAAACCAAACGTGTTTTTATAACTGGATATTAATGAAAATAATAACACAGTCTCAGTCAAGAAAAAAAATCATCGAGCTGATTGTCGATGATTGACTTTTGTTTGTGCTGTTTTTGTTTCCTGTAACGTACTAGGAGCAGGACGTTGAGCAGAAGTCAGTTTTAGTCACCGAACTAGTTCTGTGTATTATTTAGACAAGTGTTAGTTCACATCCATTTTCGAGAAGATATACCCCCTAATGAATATTCTTATTTAATACCACCAGTAAACCATGGTTCTCTGAAAAGCTATCGGTTGTCGTGTTATAATCTGAAACCGCTCGATATATCGGTGGTAATTTCTCCACGCATCAATGTGAAGAACAACGCTCGATACACCCACTATTTCGAAGTTATTGACCTTTTTGTTTTGATGGTTAAATGAGTATATAACAACGACAAAAATTGAGCGATCTTTAACTTTTCTCTCACTGACTTGTCCAAGTACATGAACTTTTACTTGAGTTAGACAGTACTGTCTCACTGTCCGTGGCAGGATGTCTTATGATGACCGTCATTATGACTATCGGTCAGTCGACATTGGTTATATATTTTCTAGATCATATTCTTTTGATGACATAAGTGTTGACGTTGCGTTATCTTAACCAAAATCACAGATTAATACTTCCCCAAGATATTCAAACATATTGCGGAAAGAATAAAAAGTAGAGATAGTCTATATTCTGGCCGCCAGTCCAGCTATAATCTAATCTTTTCCTATTTCTATTACTACTTCTATAGGTGAAATATTTTTATTGACGAATCATGGTGACGTGTCTATAATTAATTCAGTTCTTTCTCAACAAGATTAATAGTGTTATTTGATCGTTTTTAGGAGTTGATTTATATGAGTGGAAAATAATAGCAACAACACACAGTAGGTCGATATTAATAACTTTTTGTTTTCTTTCCATTATAATTCTAATATTATTTCTGAACTTAAAGAGAGATATCTTTTTGTAGTTGCTCGCAGCATCCATATCCAAAATTCCATTGTACAACAAGTATAATTCACAAAGTCATGTCTGTTGGCAGCGTAGGTATAAAGCTTTATATAATAATAATGGTTCTAAGGAATTAGGACCAAGTCAAACACATCGGTCAGTTCACGCTTAATGGTTACCCAAAAAAACGACTACATAACGACGTTCGTTCTATATTTCAAGCTTTTATTATAATAATGTCGAAGGCCATATAATGTCGATAGTTGATCATTCTACAGACAACTTCTTTGTCCATAAACATCAAATGTTAGCCGTTTAATGAACGATGAGAATGACAGGTATTTCAACCATATAGTGATATAGTTTTTCGTTACGTAGACTAGGCATGAGAAGAAAATTTGGCTTATGATTTCTCCCATACATAATAACTTTGTTTTAGATAGTCTACAAGCTGAAAACTAATTTCGATAAATCTCGTTTATTGCTCAGTATAGTTCTCATTGATTCAGCAGGGCGGTATTACTTAGTCTCGCGTTATTGATTGAATATGTTTTATTCTTCTTGATATTCTCTTCAATAATAAAGAAACGAATTCTGAATTATATTTTCAATAGAATTTGTTGGCGATCAGGGCGATCACAAGAACAATGTAAAACAACAGCTGAACGGCGCTTTAGAAAAGAATTGGAATCATTCAAAATATCTTCTCCAATATTATTTGCCGATGTTTTAGGATTTAACAATGATATTTATCATTGGGAAGCTGAACATTCAGGGACTCCAAGCTACGCCATATGAAGATGGAATATTTTTTGTTAGATGTTCAATTTCCTGTTGAACCGCCAAAACTTCAATTTCAATGTCAGATTTTATGCTGACATGAGCGAATGGGGATGATAGTCGTTTAAGTATTTTTGGTAATGAGTGTTTGTCTCCGTTATATATAGAGAAAGTAATACATTCCATGTATTCCGTTTAATGAACGATGAGGATGGTAGGTATTTCAGCCAGCTAATTTTAACGAGTGTTATGAAAGAGGAACGTTGTATTTCAAAGATCCAGACCAATACTATCGCCTAGCACAAGAATATACGTTGAAATATGCAATGTAAATAATTTCACCCTTTTATCTTGTATATTTCTAAATAAACTAGAATTAAGTTAAATTAATCACAAGCAATAGAGAGTATACACAGTATATCCTGAAAATGAGTCCATCGACCTTTTCTAGCTAAGAAAAAGGGTATACTTGAGTAAGAGTGAAACTAAAAACTACAAATAGAGAAATCGTGTACAGAGTTTAAATTGTTTTAATTTCATCTGCATTTTTGTTTTGTTTTTGGACATTCTGCTGAATCGGCACCAGTTTGTGTAATTTGATGACGAGAATTAATTTCTTCATTTTGTAAACAAGTAACAAAATGCCGTACATTAGAATGATGTCTATTCACACCAATATTGAATCGATTGTGTCTACCCAATAAAATAATACATCGCAAAATCTTCACAATTATTATTTGTTCTATTCTTTGAACCGTGCACATTCCAAATATAAATAATTAATATATTCTTTGTCATTTATATATAAAGATTAGAATAATTTAACGTCTGAACGTATTTTAGCGATTATCTCTGTTCACGGTATTTTAGTTTCCCTCTTATTCAGACAATTGAGAAAAACAATTTCTATGTATGAACAAATTTGACTAAAAATGGTAGTTTTTATACAGTTTTGTTGGGAACATGCGGTACATTTCTGAACTTTTTAACGTCAATCATACGACAAAAATGTTAACTTCTGGAAGTCTCTCAAACGGTTTGGATATGTTTTATACAAGTGCGATAGATTGTTCATGTAATCATTCAGTCAGCAGATTTAATTCCGTAAAAAAGATTTTCATCTCTAAACCTAAGTGTGATAGAATACCCGAGCCAAGGAAAGAAAGTACTTACAATTTCTTATTTAGCGAGAGTGAATGGAGCAGGTGGGAGAGTGAGTACGAAATTACACTCTTAGATCGAAAGTTAGTTACATCTTCATGAATAAATGATGGTGTGTTCATGTAATCCATTCAAAGCAGAATTTTGATTCGAGATTTATACGTTGATGGTACAGAAAGAATAAGTATCATCATTACTGATTTACTTTGGACAAAAGTGTTTGGACAATTGGCCTATGTTAAATCTATCTTGATCCATATTCGATTATCAATCTCAGGCAAATTCAATCAAAGAAAAATAATAATACGCTTTTCATTTATAAAGAAGTCAGCCTATTTAAAACTACACTAATAATCTCATATGTTAACCAAAGAGTCTATTTATTTTTTCTAGCAAATGAAATATTATTAAAAAGAACACAAGTTAAATGAACAGACAAGCAAAAACAAAGCAAAAAAAAAGAATCAGACAGTAGAATAGCATCTATCGAAAGACATAAATATCAATTATTTACAGACTACTCACTAAAGAAAAATGATTTTACAAAATACTAGAAACAGATATATCTATTTATTAAAAACCATAAAGAGTATCATCATTAATTATTGATATTAAATTTCTTCAAAATGCTGTATCATCTAAATCAGTTTTTAAATAATCGTTTAACTGTTTTGTAAGACAAAAATCTTTCTCACAAAACATCTATTTTTAACCGTTAAAATAATACTAAATGGTTTTTTAAAACATCATTTAGCATAATTTTAAATAAATCAAAAAAGATCGATTTGAGAACATTAAATATCAAAAACTGATAATGATATTCCATTTTGGTTTTATAAAAAGAACAATTTCTTTTAGAAAATGTAATAAATTAAAATTTAATAAAAAAAAAAAAAAAAATCAAAATACAAAATTTGTACTCACTAGAGATTTGTATTGTTGAGCAATAGTAAAACAAAAACAAAAAAAGATTGTGTACATTTGTCATCATTTTTTTTTAGACATTTTTCGTAATTCAATTAATTCTTGAATTATAATTCGTTTTTCATTTTCAAGTTGATTAATTCGATCATTTTTTATTTTAACAACGTTCTTGAATAAAAAAATGAGATACACTTACAAAATTCTTAAAACAACTTCTATTACCTGAGTATAATCTTACATTATTATCAGGATTCACTAATGGTGTACTTTGTGATTGCTGATAATGATTAGATTGCGAATGATATGATGTAATACCATTGTTTGTCACTTGTGGACTACCACCAAAAGAAGATGATGATTGAGAACTTGATGATTGATCAGATTTCTTTAGAAAAAACAACAACCATGTGACAAAATATTTAGAGTTAGATACAGAACTACTTACTTTAGTATCGTATTGAGCCTCATTTAAAACATTATGGGCTAACTTTAATAAATCTGCCACTAAATCTCGATTATAAACAGGTTCGGCAGTAATACCGGTAAACTAAAATTAAAAATTGAGATTTTATTCTACAAGTTTCTACCAACGTGATTAAAACAGATAGATCTAATCTTACCTGTGATGTTGATAATTTTAAACAATAATAACGTTGCTTTTCTTTCATTTCACTTAGTTTATCTGTTAAAAAACATTTTACTCTTTCCATTGTATCACATGTTTGTAATAATAAATCACGTTCAATTTCAAATCGTTTCATCGCACGAATCTAAATTAATAGACAATATATAGATTAAACTAGTGAGAAAAAACAACAACACCATTTTACCACAGAGAAATCAATATCATTGCATTGAATTGTGTTTCGTCTATTATCGGATGATGGTAGAACACGTAAAGGATTGTGTCCATTGATATAATGATTTAACAAGGTGGGAGCATCGGCATTCAAATTAGAATTATCATTGTGATCTAGAGAGAAAAGCTCTTGATGAGTAGAATACTTTGTCATGCTTGCAGATAATTGTGTATGTATGTGGAGCAAAGTTATGTAAATTTTTATTTAATCTACATAGAAAAATAGCGCCTTGTTATCAACTTGATGCATTAGCACATTTTTTTTAGAGTTGTAGTGTACAGATGGTGTATCATACAATTCTTACTCGCTAGTATGGATGGTAGTGTTTGTGTTTGTTGAGATAAAATTTGTTTTTTTTGCTCCGTGGTTTCCATTTGATTTGATGAGCTGTAATAACTATTTCCATTTGTGTTTGCATTTTTTGTCGAATAATCTCTATTTTCATTATAACTACTATACACCGGATTGACATGAAATGAAGCTTTTTTTCGTTGTTGCTGATTGCCAAGAGGTTTATTACATGATGAACTTTGCATTGTACTTGTTGAACGATATAATTGTGCAGATTGTTGTTTGGAGTTTGTCATCGATAGCCCGTTGTTATGTTTTACATTTCGTTGAAAAGAGATGGGCGGTGGATGATGTTGCGAATAATGTTTTCCGTTTTGTGTCGGAATCGTTGTATTATGAGATACGTCATCTAAAACTTGATAGAATATCTATTAAAAACTTTCCAATTCAAACGAGATTCAATAAATCAGAGTTGGATCTTGGTAAGAATTTCGATGAAAAATCAGCAATTTTTTTTAGTTTTTAAGGTAATGGATGTTTTTTGGTAAGTAGAGCGAGACATTTTATATGATTCTTTGAGAAAAACTTCAATCTGAGAGATATCTGTTCGAAGTGGACGAAGAAAAAAGTGAGAGACTAAGGTGTATTGATTCCAGTGTATCGGTCAATCATAGCCACAGAAAACTTAGAACTGTTAAAAAACAACTTCAAATTTTCTCATTAAATATGTTTTATTCTGACGGTGTGCCCACATTACAAGGTTTGAGTCTTTTACTTTGTTGAAAGCAAGAAAGTTTCTAGGAGTTGTGTTCTACTATTTTGACAGTTCTTGCACTTTTAACATTTATCATCAAATTCTGTCGAAACTATAGAAGGATCGTTAATTTAGAGAGAGCCTTGTAACATGTCTATCTCTTACTTATGAGGAAGGCATGCATACTTTTATAAAAAATAGATGAAATAAAGGGCAGTGATATATTGAAAAGACAATGAAGAAAACTACAACACCAGAACGCTGCATGTTATTAAAAAATTAATGAATTTCCACTATCTCATTCATCAAAGATGTTCCCTGAAAGTTCATTTAACACATTTTCAGTAATGAGATCTGGTCGCTTAGCTGGGCGCCGCTATCCAACACTTCAATGTTAAGCCCTTTTTTTCATATTTTGCTAATAAAAGGCACAAAACAGTAGAAAATGTGCGAAAAGAGAAGGTTTCGTACATTGTTCGAACTCATCTAGCGTAGTGTCACTGTCTCATCTGTTACAGTTATCTGGGAAAAAGATCCAATAGAATATGTTCAAGAAAAGAATAATAAATCTTGATTAATTTTGGCAAGCAACCGTGAGGTGACAAAAGACAAGGCTTAAGGACCCGTCCCCTAGAATCAACAAGCTCAGAAACCTGAAAAACGCTTCCAGGTCTTCTAGCAAGCTTGAATTCTACAAAAAACTAAGATCTAATTGAAAAATCAGCACCGGTCAGCCCATGTAGTTAGGTGTCTAGTTTAAAATATAACAAACTGGAACTTTCTAGCTTGAAGTATATTAAAAAATCTTGGAAAATACTTCAGGTGTAGCTCGTATGTAGAGAAAATGCTGTATAAAATGCTCAATTTTGGGACTACTAGGAAAATGCCTGTAACTTTTTGATGCAAGGTCGTACATAATTGTGCGAAATCTTATTTTGGTCAGAAAAGTTTGCTCTACAAATCTACGTGCTCATAAAAAACTTTAACTGCGTAGATATTCAGGAAAAAACTATTATTTGACGACCCACGTTTTTGAGGCGCCTAGAAAACTTGCTCGAAAGCCGCGAGAAGTCCCTTCTGTAACCGAAAGCCGCGAGAAGTCCCTTCTGTAACCGAAAGCGATACAGATTCTGAAAGTAGACACTTCAGACTATCTTTTCATGTGCTTATCTCAAAATCGATTTTTTTTCCGAGAATCATCATGTCTGAGTGGACATTCTCCCTAAGAGATTCTCTCATACGCTTCGAAAACGAACTAAATTAACTATTATAGCGACAGATGAACCATCGTCGATAAACAAGGAGTACTACACCCTATGAAGAACCTGATGTTGGACGGTGAAGAAAAAAAGTGAACTTCAGAAAACATTTGCAGTTGTAAAGAATGCTCCTTGTAATAAAACTCAACTCTTACATTTTTTTTCAAAGAAAATCGTTTAAATACTACGCAAAAATTGATACTTTTTAAACAATTAACTAGTAAAACACCGGCGAAAACCGATCGAGTCCGTTAAATATATCTACTAGTCTGATTCACTGATCAAACTAGTTTCAATTCTGTAAAGAATCAACTAAAGTAAATCTTTACTGGATGAAAATCTGTTCTTACTTTGCTCTTTTCTAATTATTTTCACTGGTTTTGGTACATGAATTTGTTGTTTGATTGATAATGATTTTTTCAATTGCTTATGATTAAAATTTTTGATTAGACGTGGTGAAAATAATGATTGGTTATTACTTGAATGACCACTACTATCATCTTCTCCATCTTCTTCCATGTGTCCATCATTCAAGAAATTATTCTTCATTTTATGTAGTGCTGGTGGTTGTCGTTCTTTTTCTCGTTGTTGAATGTCTGTTTCTAGACGATAACGATGTTGTTGCCGTTGGCTAATATCAGACACTGTTGAATTGAATGAAAATGATGATGGGCGATAGGGAATCTATGATAAATCAGTTTATACACGATACTTTCAACAAAGAAGATATGAGCGCACTTGCAACCTCAAAAATAAGATAGATAGATTGATCTATTGAGGTGCGATACATCAAAGAAGAGAACAAATGATCATTGGAATGCAATAAAATTAGTTTGATCATTCCGAATAATATGAGTCATTTTCTTATTAACTATGTTGAAGAACGCATCTAATTTCCCTTTCTATGGTAAAGTAAATGAGAAACTATGTTTCTGTTTCGTAAGAAGACTTACATTATGGTTTTTGACGATTTTTTGCTGAGTTGTATTCGACGATTGGTGTTTGACGGATGCTGTGACCGATAAAGAGGAGAGTGATGATGTCGAAGATGATGTATAATTAGCCGGTATTTTCAGAGAGTGTAGAGATTTTTCTATGACAGTTAATAACAATTCAAATGTAATTTGATTATTATACAATTTCGACTCTTGTTCAAGTTGTTCTATTAAATCAAATGGAATCTCATTCGTACCATCATCCGTTGTTGTTGATGTTAACGGTGGCCAATATCTTTTAAAAACATCGATGTTCACGCGACCACTATTTGTTTTATCTAAGATAGAAAACAATTGTTTTAGCGATGAAACGAATTTTAAGGGTAAAGTTGTGGCCGTTTGCTGTTGTGGTAATTCAAATTTATATAAATATTCGTGTTGTATTTTTGAAATTGTTGATTTAGGAGAAGGTGGTGTTCTTTCACCTAAGCTTATTCCTGTTTTTGCTGAATAATCATGAATTATTTTTGTTGTTGGTAAATCGGTGATAGTTGTGGCTGATGTTGATAGACGATTGTGTTGTCCACCATTCATTGATGCACATCTGTCCAAATCAGAAAAATAAAACAATTCTTCTTCAATGTAATAGTACATAGTAGTTGTGGTACATGCGGATATAAATCTTCAGTTAATTATTCTTTTCTGTTTATGAATATCTCTGTCTCACTCTCCTTCTCTCTCTCTCTATATATATATATGTGTATATATATACAATCGATCATTTCTCTGTTCCTCTTCTTTCTATTTCTAGTTCAAATATTTATAACAAACTTTTCTCATAATAAAAAGAAAGAGAAAAACATTTCTTGATATAGATACATGTATAAGTTAATATTAAAAAGTTGAAACAATTAAATGAAATTGAGCTGAATGAAAAAAGTGATAAATTTAGAATCATTTTTTAGCTATTCATAAACAAGTGTCTTTAAAAAAGAATTTATTTTGTGATATACTATCTTCTCAATATTTCTGTTTGAAAAGACTACACAGATGAGAATAATGTATACTAACTATGTTCATCTGCAAATCTTAGATAATCCGAAAGAATTTTTCATCAACACAAATGGATATTAACAATTTTCAAAGATTTTTAATGATTAAAATGTGAACTTCAACAATATATTATTTCTACATTTTCTTTGCGAAGTTTCAAAATGTTTCAAAATTTCTTTCAAATTATTTTCTTATTTTACTATTAAAATAGATAATCAACGTCACCTACATACTTCCACAGTATTACTCTCTTATTCATATTGCAACAAGATGACGTTTTACGATTAGAGAGAAAGAGAACGATTTTCACACTGTTGATACATTCATTATCTTTACTTATGTTTTTCTCTTTCTGTTACATAATTTCCTCTCAAGTCTTCATTAGAATGTATTGATGAAATAGATGAAAAGACTATTGAAATTAAAATATTTTCTTAATGTCACCACCTAATCGAAAATATATAATCGACTGTGACTTTATTTTAAATGATAATTATTTATTATATATTTTGTCTACTTGTTATAGGAGAATTAAATAACAGTTTATTTACGTATGTTCATCGTCTACTATTTCGAATGTGTAAGTAGATCTCTAATATTGTTAAAAATGATAGTGATCATTATTGAATAAGCTTAAAGCAAGAAAAAATAAAAATAGCAAAGAGTTTACAATATTAAATTTTGTTGTTAAAAAGTACTATTATATGTTTAAACAAAACGTTTCTTTTAATTGTTTTAAACGAAAAGAAATTAACATAGTAAATGAAAACAAGATATATATCTCAATAATAATCGTCCTTTTTTTCGCTTTTACGAACTATATTGAGAACTGAAGCATAAAAGTTCAATATAGAATATTTTCTTCAGAAGTACGATTCAATTAAAATTATTCTCTCATTAAAATTACCGAACTAGATGAAATTAGTTTCGAATGTACAGATTAGTTTTTTAAACTAGAATAAACAAACATTTCTAATTTATAATGAAAAATATTAGTTGACTGATAAAATTCGTGAATTTCTACTATTATGATTCGACTACATATTGTAAGAATTTAACATGACAATTTGTATATGATCTATCTATTCTCCATCTTTTTAAACTTTTCTAATGATTATCTTATTTTATTCATTAAAGAAAACTGAAAAAAATTGATCATATTACAGTACAAAATTTTTTTACACAGTAGTGATATACTTACGTACAATGTACATTGTTGAATTTTGTCAATCATTTTATCTAATAATTCTAGATCATCTTTAACTATGTTTGATAATGGACCCTTCGATTGTTGACAAGAATCAACAAGAAGTATTGATGATGATTTTTGATACATATTTGTAAATTGACTAAATCCTTTAAACTTTTTAATTACTACTACAACTCTTGCCCGCAGTATAATCACAAATTTGTCATCATAATAATCATTTTTACCTCCATAAGTACAGTCAAGTAATTTTTTATCGATATTTGAAAAAAATAAATCATGTCAAAGAATGAAATATTTCAAAAAGGTTCATCTTATGTTTTTTTTTTCTTCTTCTCCTTCTTCTTCTTATTGAAAGAAAGTAAAAAGAAAAAGGAGTTTCTTACACAATAAAATAAATGTTGTATTTATATAAAGTTGTCTCACTATTACTATTACGTTTCATAACTTTCAAGTTTTAATAAAAACAAAAATTTAGTTAACAAAGAAAACTCATTTAGTTTATTATTATATGTTTTTTTCTCTTCTCTTTTTCTTTCTTCTCAAAGTATAATTAAATGCGACAACGATAATAATTGTCTTTGAACATGAAAAATAATTACAAATATTTAATATTATTGATTATCGAAGTTTAATGTTATTAATTTCTACTGTAAACATCGATATTTCTACTGGGATACACACGTACTATCAACATGATGACAGAAGAATTTTAACAAAAAAAAACATAAAAAATCTGTATTTCTCGTACAATTCAATTTATCTCTAACTCTAGAAAGTTGACTTCATGTCATAAAGTCCAACAATGAATAATAATATATTCTATAACTATTTTATTACCTTCATATTTTGAAATGTTAACTAACATTTGTTTCATTTATCCTTTTTGTTTATTATAGCATCATCGTCTTCATCTAGACTCAACACATAGTTACCTATGAATGAAGTGTTATACTATAATAAGTTATTTACCTCTGAATTAATGAACAACATTTGGTTTTCAAACGAATAGAACGATTAATACATTCCATTAAGTGAATACGATGATGACTATTGTTTTTTTACTCATCTTTTATGATAATTGTAGAAAGAATTTTTCTCCTTTTCTTATCTGTTTATTAGAGTTCTATATATATATGTATATATATTAGAGAAAAAAACATTATAATGACAAATGACACTCAAATTCAAGTTTCTGTTAGTTGTACACATATGTTTCAATAATTAATATTGAAAATAGTCTCTTAATGGTTATATTTTCAGAATGAAATATTAATTATAGAAAAGCAGAGAGACATCAATTGTTTTAACTTTCATTCTCATCAGTAATTTTGTTTTTCATAGAATTGATTGTTTATATTTTAATTAACATTCATTTCTATTGTGACATATTGAAATTTTAGATGAAAACAAGATTTCTGTTTGTCACTAGCAAAAATTCAAAATATTAGATAAAGGCTTGGACTAATAGATACGAAATCTAATCTTTCCATACAAAAACGAACAAAATTAATGACTATTAATTTAATTACTAATTGTGATTTATGGTTTCGATTAATATATTTTAGACTTATTGTAGCTTGTCTCTAGCAATTAGTAAACATTTTGAATATAGTGTGTCGTATTCATGTATACAAAATTGAGTAAGAAAAGTCTTATTCGTACAAATCTTTATTTCACAGAGGTTCTTAAAACAGTCTTTCATCAATATTAAAACAAGGATGATCATCGTTCTTTATCTCGAACATAAACATGAAAAAAAATGTGAAAATTATTAAAAAAGCGCGTTTGAAATTACCGTCTATTATGTGAAATCACTGTCTATCATGTGTTGAACACATTTTGTTTAAAACATTATCATCCATGTATTATTGTGTCATTATCATTTTATGATTTTTCAATACACAATCTCAACATTATCTATACATATACATTAAATGATCTATTCTTCTTTTTTCTAAAAAGAATGATGATCATCAGTTCGACTTTTCATGTTCAATATGAATAGGAATATCGAAAATTGTTTTCTACTTTTCAATTGAGTAAACTTCTACACATGTCAGTGAATGAATGAGTGACATAGTCAATTTAACATGAAAGAGCTTTTTAATTGAACATGACAGTTGTTCGGATAGAGTTTGATACAGTATAATGGAAGAGAGACACTAATATCGATAGATTATTGTTGTGGTATATAGTGAGTCAATTTTAGACAATGACAATCGTAGCGAATATCGTCATAATTAATAATTGATCTTAACAATGAAACACTATACGATTAATTCAATTTTGAAAGACAACAGTTTATTTTTTTTTTAGTCGAGTAAGCTTAATACTTAAAATAATCTATAGAGTTAGATATGTTTTTGTTCAAGAGCAACTTTTCAAAACTAAAGTATATAAACGAAAAAAAAACAACACAATTTTCTCCTAGAACATACATCATCTTGTATTAAACATATAAAATGAAAACGATCGGTACGGTCTAACTATACGTTATTTATTTCTGAAAAAATGATATAGCAAGTATCACATAGAAATAATTTGCAACAATTCTATTGACCTTTTTATTAATTAGTCTTGAACGCATAGTATTACAATCGATAAACATTCTTCAAAACATGTGTCAGACATGTTTTTTCAACAGCAGGAGGTTTTTTATATTGTTTATGAATGTCAATCATTATCAACAAATGAATGGTTGCAAACTATCACAAACTCAACTACTAGTATCATATAGAAAATGATCAACTTATTAACGTGAAAAAGTTTTCAGGAATCAGGAGAAATGACATCGATAAAAGGGGCCTCGTCAAGTGATAAGTCGTTATTTCTATGAAGCATAGTTTTTCATAGATTATTTCTGATGCTGATCACGAAAATCTGATGTTCGTGGCGGCGACTAGATCTCAACGAGCAGATCAAGTTACATATGGAAAACAAATTCGAAACATAGAGAATTTTTTCGTTGCACGCAATCAGCTACACTGAGTAGATAGAGATTTTAAATGACTTCAAGAATATCCGTAAATCATTAATAAATTTTGGTTTCTTAATAAAATACAAAGAAAAATCTCATGAAGAGGCATATAAGATAAACTAGCATTAATCTTAGATAATTGATACGGCACGTCTTTTTATATAAAATATGAAATACGGCTGTTGTATGATGATAGTATCAATAATTCCAAACGATTTATGTGTTACTTAAACTGTGAACATTTATAACTGCGCCGTGAAAATTTTAGGTAAAAATAGTCTTTCGTGGTTGAGTTATTGGACTTTTGAAAAAAAGGCTGAAGAGCAGCAAAGTTCGTTTTGTTCTAGCGTAGACGTCATCTTGTTTTAGTTTTCGACTACACTGGAATCTTTCCAGAAATATAAACCGTTCTACTTAAGAGCTTTTTCTCGACCTTTCTCCTACAAAAGGAACTGAATTCTGAAGGTAAGTTACAGAAAGCATTGCGAAAAGGAATGGTTTTTTTTGGGAGCATTCTATATTCTTCAAAACTTGTCTCTTCTGTCTAAACAAACTTTTCCATATATGTAATTCGATCTGCTCAACAATGTTGACCTATCAAAATCTTATCGCTCGAATGTTTCTGATGGGTCTCAAGAGACTCGGTTCCTATCGGAAGATCTTGCCGACACAACAGACATCAAGTTCTCGATTACCATCAGAAACAACCTATGAAAAACTGTGTTGCGTGGTAACTTATCACTCAAATATTCTGTCGTCAGTTTTTCAAGTTTGTTGATATGATCAAGCACTACTATTCATTGACAAGATCGAGTTGATGTAGATGTGCCATATACTTTTGTAAACATTGATTTTGTATTGACGGTTTTCCAGAAGCTCCAATAAACGACAAAAATCGTTTGATTTTGCTCTCAAATATTAGCGAAGAAGAAGCATCAGGTTAGCTCTTATAATCGACCTATTTCTAATCAATCTCTCTTTTTCTCTTATCGTCTAATAAATGTCACTTTTCCTTTTCCTTCAAGAGTGTGTTTAAACAGTCGTTAAATTTGTTGACACTTTCTGTGATCGAAAAATGGTGTTATTGTTGAGTACTTGTACACTTCGCATCGCACTTACCTGAACATATTTTATTCATTATTATTTTTTGTCATTTGAATGGCATCTCTTTTGGTAACGGTTATTATTCTTTTATTGTTTCAATGAGAGATATACAAATGAGAAAGAAAAATGACGTAAAAATAAAGTAGAAGAAGAAAACAACGGTAACAAGCAAATCATCTGTTATTTGTAAAAGAAAAGATAAGTATTTAGGATGTGCTAACTATTTAAAATATGAAGAGAACACTTGATATAAAGTGAAAAAACGAATAGTTTGAGTATGACGAGGTGGGTTTTATCTACTCGTTAGAACTTCTAAAGAAAGAAAGAACAAAAGTTGTTATTATACTTGAGCGGCTCCAAAGAACAGAAGCTAAGTGAGCAAATACATATCTCTTCTTTTCACTACGATCATCTATATTTCGCAAAGTGAGTGAATATGGACAGTTAATAATATAGTATAAAAGAGAGGATGAAAATATTTTCTCTCTTTGTTTTTGAAAGACAAAGAGAATATTTTTTAATGAGTTGAAAATAGAAACCACTAATTTCGTCCGTAATAAATCATTCTTGTTAATTGACCAGTGTGTGCATTAAATTCATATAATGAAATGGGATGGGAGGAGAGCAGTAGAAGTAGAAGTTAAACAGACGTTAAGCCACACCCTCATACTTTTTAACACTAATGAAGTCTGGCATATTTATCCCCATTCATTTACAGACGAGTATACTACATGTGTGAAATAAGATGTTGCAAGTTATGGATACTACAAAGGTTTAGTTGGTACATCTACGACCAAAAAGTAGTTAGTTAATGACATTCTAAATACGATCCATCCGAAAATAAGAAGTTGTAAAATAATCGAATAGACAGACGATCTATCAATTTTATCTTGATACTCTTACAAATCTTTTATGAAGGGACTGTCACATCGGATCAGAATATTGTTCGTGTACATGGTGTTCATATATGAGTGAATTTCAACGCGATTGTACCGTTTAGTCAGAAAATCTGAAAAATGAAGTTAGAGGTAAAAAAATTTTTCTAGTATTCCTGTAAATAGTAGAACCTTTCTTGATTACAAAAAAATATTCTCTCGATTTTCTTTCTGCTTGAGAAATTGAATACCTTCTGAAAAGATCGCGGATCCTGGTAGTCTTTGTAAGAAAAAGCTACAGATCGACATTCTACACCAGTTGATAGCTTTTGCAACGGCGAATTTAATGATGTATGTAGCTTTTTATTACGAGAAATTTCCTTAACAATATTAGTAAAAGCGTGTCTTATAATTACTAAATTTCTCTAAAATTTTCAGGTTTTTCTGTATGAAGTTCATGAAGCTATCCGCTAATTAGCACCATCTCCATCATTAACTAATTAGCTGAGGAGTTCTTGTGTGGGCAAATATTTTTACAGATATAAAGGGTATCTAATAAGTTTTGATCCCCGTATTAGAAAATAACATATGAATGACATAGTTCGATCTAGAAATTCTTTAAATGACCCCATCGTAATTGGAGAACTTGGAGCGCAGTTACGAAAACCGAATTCGAACTTTTCGAGCCAAGTTCCGTCTCCACTCAACTTCAATAACAAATTCGTCTACACAGATGAAGATTACTGGATACTCACGGGCATTTACAAGGAGTACTTCAATCTACTATACCAACAAGTGAATATAAGAAATACCGAAAATTGCTCTATTTCCATGGCCATTGAATGGACTCGGTCTGAGCAATAGAGTTTTGGCAATTCTCTTCTCGTTCAAAGACAAACGAACCGTGTGTCGTGTGTTGGAGAGTGCCCCTATGGCGTTGATAAAGAATTTCGTCACTTTTCAATTGGGCTTTGAACACATCACTCAAGAGGCAATTGTAATCTTCCGGCCACCATTCGTTCAAGATACATCAAAGGATGAATACATCAGACAACGGCATGAGCCGAAAATT